CTTGGTAAGGCCACACTTGGAATACTGCATCCAGTTTTGGTCACCCTGATATAAAAAACATATTGAGACTCTAGAAAGAGTGCAGAGAAAAGCAATAAAGATGATTAGGGGACTGAAGGCTAAAAACTATAGAATAATAGTAGTAGGAACTGGGTATGTCTAGTTTAATGAAAAGAAGGACTAGGGGAGACATGATAGCAGTGTTGCAGTATCTCAGGGGTTGATATAAAAAAGAGAGTCAAACTATTCTCCAAAACACCTGAGGACAGTACAAGAAGCAATAGGTGGAAACTAATCAAGGAAAAAAGCAACTTAGAACTGAGGAGAAATTTCCTGACAGTTAGAACAATTAAGCAGTGGAACAACTTGCCTCCAGAAGTTGTGACTGTTCCAACACTGAAAGTTTTTAAGGAGATGTTGGATAACCATTTGTCTGGAGTGGTCTAGGGTGGAAGCCTAGGCAGGGGGTTGGACTAGAAGACCTCCAAGATCCCTTCCAACTCTGTTATTCTATTCTATTCTATTCCTATTCTATTCTATAACAATCAGATCTCTAAGGTCAGCAATAGGATTTTCTCTGAAGCTAGTCAGATTGGAGACACAAGGGAATGGAGTTCGTTTCAACTTACCTCTCTAATGTGCTAGGAGAAGTACATTGACAAGACCCTAAAGATTAACGTTGCTGTGGTCTTTGCTCAAATCATTCAGGACAGAATGTCAACTTTAAAAAATAGTATTGAAAAAGCCAGCTGTTTTATTATCACTCGTTTTGACTATGTATAGTTTGTTATTGTATTCTATATTCTATATTAGAAAGGTTGGTAATCTGAAACAAGGATTCATATTATTTTAAATAATTACGATGCCTCCATTCTAGGGCATCTGGAACCATTCTTTTCCCTGGCTAAAAAATTATTGCATTTAAATAACCATACAATTTCTCAAAACCCTGAACATTTTTTTTCTATGTCTCAATAGCCATCCTCCATATTCCCATGGAAATATTACTTTCAGTGTTCTTACTCCAGAACCAAATCATCGGCCAGGATATAAAGATTTCTACAATACACCATCACTTCAAGAGTTTGTCAAAGTCTCAACAATTAAGATTCATCTATTTGGCCAGTATCACACCACTATGCCCTGGGTTAATTTTGGACATAGATACTATGGAATTGATGAAATTACAATCAGTGGAAGGTAAGTTGTGTGATGTACCTATTAAAGTGATGTTTCTATTAAAGTTAAGTTTTGGGATAAAATATCATTATGGTATTATATACATGAAAATGAGAATGTAGTATTATGGCTGTGTAATGTTTTGGACACAACATTAAAAAAACTGCTTTGCAACAAGTAGGGATATGAATATAGCCCCTACCTGTCTTGAAAACAGTCACATTTTTTTCTTGGGATGTAAGTACATGCCATACCACACAATTTCAAGAAAAAAAATATGTATAAGGAACTGCAGACAGCTCTGAAGCATCTTTTTCAGATTTGAAGCATTGTTTAGCCTTATATAATATAGCACTCCAGCACTTTCAAATCTAAAATGGCTTGACTAGTTTCCATCTTTAATATTATTTCATTTATCAATAATGCTTAAATTTTGGATTTGATCATCCATATGGAGCAGTATGTCTGATTGAGAGTGGATCTACCATATTTTCATTTTTTATTATGGTGTCTCATCTGTGGCAGATGTAATGGATTTAGTAATGAACAAAATTCTTTGTCTTGGCTAGTTTTTCTTCTTAAAAATTAGGCTTCTGTGAAAAAAATGTTATATTATCTATTGACTGACAGCCTTATTGTATATGGTAAGTCACAAGTCTGGTTGAAGGCATAATTTCACCCTGTAAATAAAATGCAAATTAAGAAATGGTTGGTCTCCAGTGAAAGATGTGTGTTTTTTTTTTNTCAAGCCCAGAAGGGCTGTCTGCACGAGGGGCATCCTGGGATAGTAAGGATGAAGGCCCTGGGCCGGAGCTACGTGTGGTGGCCTGGTTTGGATCAGGATATTGCACAGTGGGTGACTAGGTGTCAGGAATGTCAGCAGTCGAGGCCAGCTCCCGCGGCAAAACCTAGGAAGTGGGAGGACCCCAAGACTCCCTGGACTAGGATCCATTTGGATTTTTCAGGGCCGTTCCACGGACAGATGTTCCTGGTAGTGGTCGATGCATATTCAAAGTGAATGGAAGTTGTTCTCAATGTCATCGACCACTACCGAGACTCTGATTAGGGCATTGCAAAAGATGTTCACGACTCATAGGTGCCCAGACGTACTGGTGTCAGATAATGCTGCCCAGTTGATGTCTGCGTCTTTCCAGATGGTCTTAGTAGGTCACAGCAGCCACCACGTTTTGGTGGCCCCTTACCAACCTTCCAGCAATGGCATGCCAGAGTGGATGGTGCGATCTGTTAAGGAGTCCCTAGCTAGGTTGGGTCCAGGGGATTGGCAGGCCCGAATTGACAGATACCTGTTAGTACAGCACACAGTCCCATGTCCCCTAACTAACCTCAGCCCTGCAGAGTTGTTAATGGGCTGCCGCCTCCGGACTAACCTTGATCAACTTCACCTCAGCTACTGCAATGACAAACCTATTGACAACGATGACCCCGCCAGGGGTTTTGAAATGGGGGGTCTGATTTTTGCACAGAACTATGGGGGTGAGCAGAGATGGTTGACAGGGCACATTCTGCAATTAACGAGTCCCTGCTCTTACAGGGTTGGCCTAGGCGATGGGCGTATTTGGCGCTGCCACATTGATCAGCTGCGACCATGGATGGCCTTGATGCAGATGCCACCTGATCTTTTCCCAGTTGGTCCTATACATTCCCCATTTACTCTGGACACCTCCATTGAAACGCAGCATTGCCCATCTTGGCAGTCTGGTGTTCCTGCACCAGCCTCACCTGAGCCATCAGAGTCACATCCAGAGTCACCGGGCAGAGAGTTAGCACAGTTGTAGGCAGTCCCCCTGGAGAAGCCTTCTCCTTTTCTTTCTATAGCATCAGTTCCAGCCGAGCCAAGAAGATCGGACTGTACATGCAGGGAGCCTACATATTTGCAGGATTATGCATGTACCTGACTGGTGGAGAAGGGTGTTATGTCTCAGGCTCAGAGACGTGGCTTCGTCTCTGAGGCTCGCCATTGGTCGAGACGCGTGTATGTGCCACAGCGGGAGAGTCACCATTCTCTGATTGGCTAACTGCGGGACTGCCTGCATATAAATTGCTGTCAAGCGGGAACTGTTCTTTATCTTGGGTTCTGGAGTTGCTGTTGCGTTAGCTGTTTAATAAAGCCGTGTTAGCCGAGTCCTGCCTTGCCTCAGTCATTGCCACCCATCAAATATAATAATAGCTCCATGATATGTTTTGAATGAAGTCCCATCGGGATGCAACTGAAATTCTGTTTTCACTTAGGTCTCCTGAATGCAATGGAGGGAGTTTGGGAATAGATATGAACAATTCAATTAAAAGTTTATAATAATAGGATGGTAGATTGTTTAATATTGGGGATTGCAAAAGTAACAATTCAGGATGAAGATTTACATAATTATTATATGAGGTTGCATTTCTGGTAAATGATCATGTGTATACTTTGGGAATTCTGAACTTGTCCTTGATTGAAGAAACCTAGGAGCAGTAGTGGTCCATATAATTTTTAACCTGGTAAGTCAGTTATGATTATATCGGGAGTAATTAGAAGTTGGCCCAATTATGTAAGCACAAGTGACATCCAGTGAAAATGGCACTAATACACTATGGACCTGCTATTAATGATTATTCAGAAATGTTGGTTAGCGTAGAATGCAACCATCTGGATGTTGCTGAGAGGAAAACAGTTGGTTTATGGGATACCTGTGTTGCACCAGCTGTACCGTGTTTCCAAGCTACATTTCAAATATGTTTAACCTTTAACTTTTTAACCAATTTGAAAGTTATTTGAAGGATCATTTATGCTTGTAACATCATTACAAAATGCACAGGTACAGTAAATGTGGTACCTTGCTCAATAGTAGTAACTGTAAGAGGGATCTTGGAATCCTAGTGGACAACCATTTAAATATGAGCCAGCAGTGTGCAGCAGCTGCCAAAAAAGCCAACACAGTTCTACGCTACATAAACAGAGGGATAGAATCAAGATCACATGGTGTCAATATCATTTTATAATGCCTTGGTAAGGCCACACTTGGAATACTGCATTCAGTTTTGGTTGTCATCATGTAGAAAAC